GAATCATATATAATAGTAGAATTATAAATAAATGCAAAGAAATAATAAACATGTAATTTATAAATTACATGGGATGGGAGGAAAGAGAGCGTGATCAGAAAGAAGAACATCAGGGGCTTCAGCTGTCTAGGTAATGTCTTATTTCTTAAGCAAGCTGATGTCCATAGTATTGGTCTTTAAAGCTTTTTCTATATGTGAAATATTTCATAATTATTATTAAGCTAATAAGTAATAACCACCAGGAGTATTCTCATCACATAATATTAAGTGGAAAGAACAGGAAACAGGGTTGGATATGCATTATACTTCCAATTTTGTAAAAGCAGAACAAATCAAGAGGAAACCTAAATATAGATTTTTTTTTAAGACCAGCAGATAATAAACCAAAACGGTTAGATGTCTGAGAATGATTTTTACTGGCTTCTTTATACTTCACAATAGATTATCTGAAGTTTTTATAGTGAGCACTTATTGCTTTTGGAATCAAAATCAAATGTTGCTGTTTTTTAACATTGATGTATTCACTGTAGACACCACAGTAAAATGGTCTTAAGAGCTCAGAGCTTCCTTTGGAAGCCAAAAGCACTGACACTGAGGGTGTTTGAGCCATAGCAGGGTGATCATCTGTCAAGGCATTCTTATGGGGATTCCTGATGATATCAGATGAATGGATCTTTCTGTGGAATAAGCAGTGCCCAGAGCCTTGGTGGCAATCCTCTGAGATGCTAAGAGTGACTTCCTCTTGTCTCTTTCAGGTCACAGCCCCACATTTCCCGGTGGTGGTCAAGCTGGGACATGCCCACGCTGGAATGGGAAAGGTATGAGAAACAGCCCTTCTACTCACAGTGGACACACCCACAGATTCCCCAGACCACCTGTTCCTCTCCCTCTGTCCCCCATGGACCCCTTAGCACAGGCACCCAGAACAGTGTCAAAAAGAATCCACAGTACATCTCTGTCCCCTCCCCAGCCCACTTCCTCAGAGCTCCTGGTACACAGAACATCTTTTCAGTTTAGTCCTTCCTTGCCAAACACTACCTGGAATTGCTACCTAATCATTGTCTATGATTGCAGCTGAAGAGAAAGGGATGTGGAGCATTTTATTAACCATAATTCTTTTGTGAGGGATTGCTGTCACCATCTCCACGGCCATGTTGTTAGCCCATGTCTTACTTATCTCTTTATCACTGTATTAGTCCGTTCTCACACTGCTACAAAGAAATACTTGAAAGTGGGTAATTATAAAGAAAAGAGGTTTAATTGGTTTGTGGTTCCACAGGCTGTACAGGAAGCATGGCTGGGGAGACTTCAGGAAACTTAAAATTGTGGCAGAAGATGAAAGGGAAGCAGGCATGTCTTACACATGCTGGAGCAGGAGGAAGAGAAAGAAGGGGGAGGTGCTACACTTTTTTTTTGAGACAGAGCCTCACTCTATGACCTAGGCTGGAGTGCAGTAGTGTGATCTCAGCTCACTGCAATTTCCACCTCCCAAGTTCAAGCAATTCTCATGCCTCAGCCTCCCAAGTAGCTGGGACTATAGGTGCATGCCAGCACACTCGGCTACTTTTTGTATTTTTGGTAGAGACTGGGTCTCAAACTCATGACCTCAAGTGATCTGCCTGTCATGGCCTCCAAAAATGTTGGGATTACAGGCATGAGCTACCACACCTGGCCAAGGTGCTACACACTTTTAAACAACCAGATCCCATGAGAACTCACTCACTATTACAAGAACAGTAAGGGAAAAATCCACCCCCATGATCCAGTCACCTCCCACCAGGCCCCTCTTCCAACATTGGGGATCACAATTTGACAGGAGACTTGGGTGGGGACCCAAATCCAAACCATATCAGTCACTGTAGGGCTGACACCTAGAAAATGGCAAACACATCTGGTTCCATGGAAGAAGCCCCCAAAGTCAGTCAACTGCAAAAGTCAGTAATATATTAATTTCACACCATCACAAATAACATCCTGACAAACTATATTGGTCAGACTCTTTCAGTTACAAGTGTCAAAATGTTCAAGACATTAGGATGTCTGAGGTAGTTCTTGGTAGATTTTGAGCAGAGCTGGATCCAGGAGTTCAAATGAAATAGAGCTTGATCTCCCTCTTTGTTTCTTGGCTCTGTTCATCTCTACTTGGCATTTTCTTCAGACTGTCAAAATGGCTGTGAGCCATCCAACCTGGTCCCTAAGCTCACCGTCCCCAAAGGATAAAGATCCTCTTGTTGTCCAGCACTTCTATGTCTAATCCCATGGAACCTTGCTTGGATCAATGTGTTCACCCTCAACAATGGGATGGGGAGATGGTTTAGCTCAAGTCAGACCATATGTATCAGAGTCCCACAGGAAAGGGGTGACTGGGGGTTTCCCACAGTTTGCCTCTCAAGCCTCTGGCTCAGACAGAACCAAGTGGGAACATGCAGACCTCAGTACCTGCCACCCACATTAGAGGGGACCTGAGCCCAGACACAATGCCCAACACAGTGGGTCCTAGATAAAGTACAGCGAGAGCTGAACAATGTGGGGCCAAGTAGACACGTTGTTTTGAATAAGCCCACCCAGACATGAATAATTCTTCACCTCACACCTATATTCTTCTCCACCTGTTACGGTTCTGTATGCCTAAACTCTGTTCCCTTCAGGCAGCCTAAAAAGGAATGGGTCAGGCAGGTCAGGGCACGACCCACAGCTTGGACATCTGCATAAACTTGGGCGAGTTACCATCTAACTTTTCTTGGTTTCCTCATCAGTCGAATGATAATTCTAATAACTGTCTTTAAAAATGAGTCCTTCCTCCAGACTATATCCCTGTAGAAAGTACACATCGTGAGGGCAGGAAGTTCTGCCTGTTTTTCCACTGCTGTATCCGAGGGCCCTGAGTGGCACCTGGTACACAGGAGGCCCCCTGCCCCACTTCTTGCTTAGGTGGATGAATGAATGATCCCGTCTTTAGCCATCATCCTATATTTGCTCCCCATTCCTCCCCCACCCTCTTCCAGCCCAGCGTATGGCTCCAGCCCCTTCATTCCACTAAAGCTGTCCTCTCAGTGGTCTCCAATGATCCTCTGTTGCTAATTCAGTGGGCACTTTTCCATCCTTATTGGAATCCACCTCTATCATTTAAAGTGTCTGGCCATACTTCTATCCCAAACTCTCCATGCAGTGGCCTCCGGTGCATGCTCTTCTCCTGGCTTTCCTCATCTCTGTCTCTGGCCACTCCTTCTTGGTCTCCTTCAAGAACTTTTCTTCCTGCATCATCCCTAACCATGGCTATTCCATCTGCACACCATCCCTGAGTGCTCTTGTCAGCTACCTCAGCTTCAGCTGCCATCTGCATGCCAACAGACTCCCAAGTTGTATTTTTCCTTCCCAGAGCATCAGGCTCTTATATCCAGTTACCCCCTCTACATCTCTGCCTTGTCTCCTATGGAAACCTCAGAGCCTAAACATCCCAGACCAGGCTCAACATCTTCCCAGAAACCCTCCCCTCCCTTCTCCTCCTCCACTTCCTCCTGTGACCTCCATCTCTGCAGAGCAGGAACCACCAGTCATTCAGTTGCCTCAAAACAGAAACCTGGGAGTCATCTCCCCCTCCCCCATGTCCAAATGGTCTCCAAGTTTCGTCAATTGACCCTCGTTAATGTTTCTGTAACCTATATCTTTCTTTCCCCCCACTTCCACCATCTTGGACAGCTCTGGTGAGGTCAAAGCATTCCCAAGAATTAAGCTCTGTGCCTAAAGCTTAAAATAATCACCAACAGGACATAAAAAGAAGGAAATACTTAAAGAGACTGATGCAATAGGGAGGGGGGTTGTTTCTGAGACTCAGGTCCAGGGGGGCCTCCCAAAACATGGAAGGGAGGGTGCACTCCAAGGATAAAAAAAAGACACAGACCAGAATAAACTGAGGTTTGCAGAAATGCTGAGATTAAGGGAAAAGGACTTTTCTCCTTATTTTGGAATGAGAAAACTTGCAGGAACAGTCTGTACCAAGTTGACGAAGCAAGTGATGTCATAGTCATAGTTGAGAGAGAGAGAAAAACAAAGCCGGTACCTCCTGTGTACTTTTCCCTTCTCTTGGGAATGAAGACTGTCTTCCTGGAGATTAGCAAAGAGAACATTCCTAGAAGAAAGCTGGTAAGGAGGCTGCCAATGCGCTCAGTATTACTTGAAATCTACCCAGGCCCCCGCAGCTGCAGCTGCTGGCCCATCCCAAATTATACTTCACTCCTTTGTTCTCATACTTTGATGCCTATTCTATGCTGAGAATCAGAAAATCAATAGGACCCAGTCCTTGTCCTCAAAGAATTGGAGAGATAGTTGCATAAATGTGCATAATGTGTTTTTGGGGGCCTGGTAGAAGGCTGTGCAGAGGGTATGAGGCTTAGAGTAAAGAACTTAATTCCACCTTGATGGAAAAGGCATCCTGGGAGGATTGAAGCTTGATTTAGAAAGACAAGTGCATGACCTTTGTTGGTGCTAGTGATTAAGAGCATACCCAGGGAAAGGAGAAAACTCAACTAGTAAGAAGAAACCTGGCATCAGGGGAACTGCAAGTGGTTCGGTGTGCCTGGAGATTTAAGAAATCCTAACAAACAAAAAAGACTAGAAGACAAGAGATAGAACAATTACTCCGTTGTATTAAAACAAAAAATAGTGGACATCATGAGAAACAGAAATCAAAACATGGTGAAACTCTATGCCATTTTGGGAGTGCTTAGACAGTGGACCACATTCATGGGGATACCATAAGTACTTTAGAAGTCAGTAAGGTTAGACAGGTGGTTGGGAGGAAAATGATCTGCCCCCGGGCGGGGGGCATTTGGACGTGTCTGAAGGCAATTTTGTTTGTTACAACTTGAGGACGATGAGGGGCTAGTACTGATACCTACCAGGTAGAATCCAGGGATGCTGCTAAACATCCACAGCACATAAGACAGCTTCCTACGACAAAGAATTGTACTGCCCAAAATGTTAATACAGTCGATCCCACTTATCTGCTGGGGATACATTCCAGGACCCCCAGTGGATTTCTGAAACCACAGATAGTTCTGAATCATCCTGTTTCCTCCTGTACATACCTATGACCAAGTTTAATTTATAAATCAGGCCCAGTTTCTTTGCACTTTGGGGCCTTTATGAAGTGAAATAACAGTTACTTGAACATTCTGTGACAGTGGATCTGGTAACTGAGATGGCTCCTAAGTGACTAACGGGTGGGTGGCATATACAGCATGGACATGCTGGACACAGGGGTGATTCACGTCCCAGGCAGAATGGAGGTGGTGGCGCAAGATTTCATCACTCTACTCAGGATGGTGCGCACTTTAAAACCTAGGAATTGTTTATTTCTGGAAATTTCCATTTAATATATTTGGACCGCAGTTGAGCATGGGTAACCAAAACCACGGATAAGAAGGGACTACTGGAGTATCAAGGTTGAGAAACACTGGACAAAACTAACTTCATTTCCTTTTCTGAACATTTTACCAGACTAGAAACCAGAGGAAGCCATGCTGATAATAGAATTCAACATGTTTTAAAGTATGTTCTGAAGAATTATAATTACTCAGGATGCTAAAGTCTATTTTTGACATATAGGTTTGGAAAACTCTGCATTAAAGTAAGCTCTTAGTATAGAAATTCTTAGAGTCATAAATTTGGTTGTATGCAGTGTGGAGGCACAAGACCATGGAAAAGTAAGCAGAAATTCCTGGAATTATCTGACTCCAGAAACCTTTGGCCATTTTCTGTTGAGATGGTTCTCCTTTTACTAATTTGTAAGAACATCTCCCGTTTGAAGAACATTAAT